ACCCTGCAACGTACCCAACCGCTTCTACACATGTGGCGGCGAGCCACAGGACCTATCAATACAAACGACCAGGTTGAAGGACCCGTAGGACGCCGTAGGAGCCCACGAAAATGGCGGTAATGGCACACTTCGCTGGGCCTCCCAGGGAGCCGCGAGGTCTCGGCTGGGTCTGTTTCAAACCTCCACTCCGCTGGGCCTTCCAGGAGCCAACGAAAGTGGCGGCAATGGCGCACTCCGCAGTCTCCCGGGGAGCCGCGGGGTCTCGGCTGGGTCTGTTTTCAACTCCACTACGCTGGGCCTCCCAGGAGCCCACGAAAGTGGCCACAATAGCGCACTTCGCAGCCCCCACAAGGAGCCACGAGATCTCGACTGGGTCTGTTTACAACTCCACTCCGCTGGGCCTCCCAGGAGCCCACGAAAGCGGCGAGAAAGGCGTACTCCGCAACCCAAGGAGCCACGAGGTCTCGGCTGTTTCTGTTTTACAGCTCTACTCCGCTGGGCCTCCCAGGAGCCCACGAAACTGGCCACACGGGCGTTCTCCGCAGCCATGCCAGGGAGCCGCGAGGTCTCGGCTGGGTCAGTTTTCAACTCCACTCCGCTGGGCCTCCAAGGAACCCACGAAAGTGGCCACAATGGCACGCTTCGCAGCCAACCAGGGAGCCGCGAGGTCTCGGCTGGGTCTGTTTGCAACTCTACTCCGCTGGGACTCTCAGGAGCCCACGAAAGCGGCGAGAAAGGCGCATTCCGCAGCCATCCCAAAGAGCCGCGAGGTCTCGGCTGGGTCTGTTTCCAACTCCACTCCGCTGGGCCTCCCAGGAGCCCACGAAACTGGCCACAAGGGCGCACTCCGCAGCCCCCCAAGGAGCCGCGAGGTCTCGGCTGGGTCTGTTTGCAGCTCCACTCCGCTAGGCCTCCCATGAACCCACGAAAAGGGCGAGAGCAGCGCACTCCGCAGCCATCCCAGGGAGCCACGAGGTTTCGGCTGGGTCTGTTTCAAACCTCCACTCCGCTGGGCCTCCCAGGAGCCCACGAAACTGGCCACAAGGGCGCACTCCGCAGCCCCCCAAGGAGCCGCGAGGTCTCGGCTGGGTCTGTTTGCAGCTCCACTCCGCTAGGCCTCCCATGAACCCACGAAAAGGGCGAGAGCAGCGCACTCCGCAGCCATCCCAGGGAGCCACGAGGTTTCGGCTGGGTCTGTTTCAAACCTCCACTCCGCTGGGCCTCCCAGGAGCCCACGAAACTGGCCACAAGGGCGCACTCCGCAGCCCCCCAAGGAGCCGCGAGGTCTCGGCTGGGTCTGTTTGCAACTCCACTCCGCTGGGCCTCCCAGGAGCCCACGAAAGTGGCGACGGTGGCGCACTTCGTAGCCAACCAGGGAGCCGCGAGGTCCCCCTCCCAGGAGCACACGAGAGTAGAGTGGCAGAGTCAAAACGGGGCTGCAGCGCAAGCAGGACGAAGAAGAGAAGGAAGAGACGACATGAGGCAGGACGTAGGAGGCAGGATGGGGGGAGGAGGAAGGGGAAGGAGGAGTGGAGACCACCGTGCTCTGTTCAAAACGAGAACCCAACACAGGAAGGTTGGGGAAACGAACACATGCTTCCGTCTATGTGTTTCTGAAGAAGTGAGGAGGTCTGGGGGCCCTGAGATCCAACGTCGTGAAAAATCAAGGCCAAAGCCCTGGACCCCATCCTGCAGCATTTAAGGAGCTGGACCGATCTGTGAAAGTCCTAGGGCCCGAAACCAATCGAAAACGGCCGGTATGAAAACAATGCGACGCCCAGATCGAACGCCAAGTCGTCAGGGGCGGCCGCGAAGTCATCAGGGACTGCTCTCCGAAGTGTCCTCCTCACCTCGCAGAAAGGCCAATACGGTCGAACACGTTTGCTGAGCGTGTCGCGGAGGCGGCGCCAGCGACACGCCATGCCCTGCAGGCGGATGGCGTGTCGCTCTGGTCCTCGTGGAGTTGACGCCTGGGGACTGTGACGTGGTCAGCATGTAGCGCCGAAGCGTGGTGGGCCAGAACAAGAGGCGCGACACCCTGAGATTCGACGTAGCGAAAAAATACAACGTCGTTAAAGGATCACGCCCAGGGCCCTAGACCCCATCCTTCTGCGTCATTTTTCGCGCCGGGTCGATCTGTGAAGGTCCTGGGGCCCGAAATCGAACGAAAACGCCCGGCTGGGAACAATTGAGTCGCCAGAAGCTCAGGGCAAGCCACAGTCCCGGACTGTGGTCGGGTCACTGCGATGCACATCCAGATCTGTTGGCACCCAGCTGGCACTCCCTGGCGGGCCGAAGGGCCGACGGGTGGGCCGCGCCTCCGACGAAGCCGACGACCTTGCCAGGCTGCAGCTCGCCAGCGCTCAGCTCGTCGATCGTCGCCTCAGAAGCGGCTCGCTCGCGCCGGCGGCCGGGCGAGGGCGGCGGCGACGGCCCTGACAGCCCGCACGCACGTGCTTCCCAAGACATGCTCGCGTCGAGGAAAGTTCGAGTAGGGGACCGACAAGAGTATCGAATCACCCCAAAATTGATTTTCACGTCGATTCCACGAGACTACGGAAGAATCTACGTCGACGTCTATTTTGGGGAAATTCGATTATGCAGACATGGCGGAAGGTTTTTGGCAATTTTCGGCCTCTGGGAGCCCTCGCACGGCCCCGGGACCGTCAGAACACACTCGGCATGAGAAGCCCGCCACGGCGGAAGGGTCGGGACTTCAGGGCGTCGCATGTCTGGATGCGATCAGACATCGAGGCGGCCGGCTTGTCAGGCTTGTCATGTTTGGCACCAGGGCGCTGGCCTCGGGCCCCAGGCCTTGAGGACAGGGTCGAAGCGCCTGGCCCACGCATCGAGCGAGGTTCTGCGCACGAATGCCGGTGCTTGTGCGCGTGGCGGCGGGGCCCGGCATTTCCCGTCGCTGCGCCATGCCCCTCCCTTGCCAGCCCCTGCCGCCTGTCGCATGCCCTCGGCGTGGCGCGTGGCCCACGGCCTGTCCCGCCGCTGCGCCCGGGCCTCCCTTGCCAGCCCTTTTTCCGCATTCCCTCGCAGACCGGATGCTCCCCGGTCTCCAACACCATCTTGGAGGGACAAGAGGGCAGCACCACGCCACAACACCTCCGTGAAGCAATACGGAGAGCACTGCCAGCGAAGACGAAACAAAGGAGCGGGCAAGCAACCCTACCGCCAGACCGTTCACGCGGGTTCTTCCCAGAGGAGACGTGAGCGCAAAGGGGGGGGGGAGGGAATAGGAGGAGAAATGGCAAGGCTAACGATGCAGCAACCAGCTGATGAGAGCAAGCGATAAAATTCCTGTCGTGCTTGAGCCTTGATGCTACTGAGAAGGTGGGTACGATAATCACCCCCCATTCACGCCACTATTCGTTCTCATCTTAAGCCTGCCCAAGTGCCACTCACCCAAAACTGGCCTGGCCCTGAATCAGCGTACATGTGCGGTCGGCGCCTCCCGTTCCTTGCCATCCCCACCACCGCCCACCCCTGCCTCACCGCCTATACAAAATTCCGATGGTTGACTTTGTTGAATGCGGGGCCCCCGGAGTCCCGATTATTTACCCAGGACTAGCTTTCCATCCTGCATTGTCATCGCCCCCCCCAAGCCAACTGCTCGACGCGAAAACCCCAGTATGTGTATCCCATAGCGATGGCATGCTTCCGTAAAAAATGTGTTTGTCAATATCTGAATGTCAGCGAATCCATGTGGAAGACGAGGCCGAAGGAGACGCCGACGACCACGACGAGTTTAACTCGGCGCTTCCTCCTTTCCTCCTCCTCCACGTCCCTCCTATTTCGTCCCTCCTATTTATCTTTTCTTTTCCTCTGAACACCTGCCAGGGGGATCCATCCACGAAGACGAGAATGCCAATGAAACTCGAACGATGCTTCCCAGGGGAGCTCGAACAGCGAAGCTCGAGACAGGAGCCTCGAGCCTCGATCCTCTTGCCTCGGCCAACCGAGTTGCCCGTTCGGCGGCGAGAACCCCCTTAATATATCCACATGCGTCCTCCTTCTGCTCTTTTTCCTCTTCCTCCTCCTCCTCCCCCTATGCCTCCCTTTTCTTCCGCCTTCTGCTCCTAGTCCTGCTCCGTTCTCTTCGCCATCCCTCCCCACATACTATTACCCCTTCGCCACCTCCTGCTCCAGTTCCACCTCCTCCACCTCCTCTCGCAATATGAGCCATGCGGGATGGTCGAATCAGCGCTCCGCCTGAGAACTGCTTACGTCTTGCTCTGGGCGCATACGAATCTGCCCGCCTTAGCAAGCAAATCGGTCAAGACATCCTCGCACTTTGGGATCCCTGGGACGCCGGCACTAGCGCCTCGCCAGGACATCCTCAACATATGATTGAAGTGCAAACGACGCCGGCTACGAATTAGCGAACCGCGTGAGATTGCCTCGCAATCTGGGATCCTCGGGGCGCTGAAACCAGCGCCTCGCCTGAGACATCCTGATTCTCATGTATCCTCCGCCCGCAGAGAGACAAGATCCGCCAGGGCTTGCCGCCGATCGAAGCCGTCCGCACTTGGCAGGGGGCCGATGAGACAGGCGATCGTGTACTCGGCCAAAAGGAAATTTGCCGTCAACACTTACCACCAAGGCGGCAGCCGAGGCCTGCTTGCGCAACGGCAGCGGAAAAACCTATCAGGGCACGACCGTCCGCACTTGGCATCGGGCAAAAGATAACTGAAACGGCGACTCATCGTTCCATGGCTGCACCATCCCGCACTTCTCGGCGAGCTCAACTGCTCTCTCCACCGTCAGTTTCTCGTTGCGCTGGAAGCGTTTGAGAGCTTCCTGCGCCGCCTTCGGTGGATCTCTTTCCAGCAGCCAGCGATGCGGCGGCCGCGCCAGCAACATGTCCGCCATTCGGGTGGCGCGGGGAAACAGGACAGAAAAGGTTCAGACGCCATGCGTCGTCATCAATGCCGCGCTGCCCCTGGGGTTCCTGGCGAGCGCAATTCATGGTCACAGTTCCGCGCAGCAACATGTCCGCCATTCGGGTGGCGCGGGGGAACAGGACAGAAAAAGTTCAGACGCCAGGCGCCGTCATCAATGCCGCGCTGCCCCTGGGTTTCCTGGCGAGCGCAATTCATGGTCACAGTTCCGCGCGTTGTCTGCCCCTGCAAGGCCGTCGTCGCCACGTAGCGGGCGCGCGACAGCATAGAGCCGTAGCGTTTCACATTGTGATTGTGCGCCGTGGGCGTCGCCTACCAGGTGATGGTGGTCTCCACCAGAGGCGTGCAAAGCAAACCGCGAAGAATCTTCTCGTCGTTGTCCACGTAGTCCATGACATCGCCCCATGTGGGGGCCTGCTTGAAGTCGTCGGCCTCAAGCGAAATGCCAGCTGGAACACGTTTCGGCCTGAATCTATCGCCCGGGCGGGTGCTGTCATAGTCCCTGTGGTCGCCAGGGTGGAAAGCGAAGTCGACGATCGTGGCCCGCTACTCCTGGACGAGACGGAATGTTCTGTTGAACTTGCCGGCGAAACGGATTCGCATTCCCACGTGGGCGGGGAGCACGCCGTGAATCCGACCAGAGCGGTAAATGTTGGCCACGTTCACCATCCTGGAATACGTCGCCTTGTCCTGGGGGGGGATGGTCCCGCACTCGTCGGCTGCTTACAAAAACACAAGATGCACCTCGAGCACGCGGGCGTCGCGGCGCGCCCTTTGGGTCCACGGAGCAGGCGAACGGAGCAGGCGCGACGACGGGTCCAAGGAGCAGGCAAGCCCGCGTCGCGCGAAACAGTCCACAGCGCACCGAACACCGAAGAATGTTCCACAATGCGTGGGCGACGGGTCCACGGAGCAGGCGAGCCCGCGTCGCGCGAAACAGTCCACGGCGCACCGAACACCGAAGAATGTTCCACAATGCGTGGGCGGCGGGTCCACGGAGCAGGCGCACCCGCCTCACGTGAAACAGTCGCCCACGCAGGCACGCTCGGATACAGTGCGGACGCCACATCTCCGCGGAGCGTCATCGCGTCGCACGAAGGCGAAGCGTCCAACAGAAAACAACTTCACACACACACACACACACACACGCACACACACACACACACACACACACACACGCACACACGCACACACACACACACACATCAGACCAGCGCGAGCGAGGGCTCCACGGAGCAAGCGGAGTCGCGTCGCGTGGAGCCGTCGCCCGCACCTACACCTTCACAAAGACAGGGGGAGGCAACGTCTCGTCTCCGCGGGGTGAGGAAGTCGCGTCGCGCGAAGGAGTGGCCCCCGCCAAACGCACGCAAGCCATTGCTCGCGAACCCAAACCATTCCAAGGGGCGCGTCGGATGAATTTCGAGGCGGACCCAGCCGTGGCGCAGAGGACTCCCGGGGACACCGATCGGGCACCCTAACAGGCAAACCGCCTGAGACATCCCCCCCAATCTGGGCGCGAACGGGACCGTGAGATACCTTTGGGCGACCCCCTTGGGAGTGCTGAAGCCAGCTCTTCGCCCAAGACATCCTCGGAAACTGTTCCGAGCGAGAAACATGTCGAGCACCAAAACAAGCAAATCGCCTGATACATCCCCCTAATCTGGGCGCGAACGGACCCGTGATATACTCCCTGGCGCCCCCCTTGGAAGTGCTGAAACCAGCGCCTCGCCTGAGACATCCTCGGCAACTGCTCCGAAAAAGAAGGATGATGAGCACCCGAACAGGCAAACTGCCTGAGACATCCCCCCACTGTGGGCGCCAACGGGACCGTGATGCACCTCCTGGCGCCCCCCCTTGAAGTGCCGAAACCAGCGCTCCGCCTGAGGCATCCTCGGGGCTTGCTCCGAAAGAGAATGATGCTGAGCACCCAAACAGGCAAACCGCCTGAGACATCCCCCCAATGTGGACGCGACCGGGCCTGCGATGTACCCCCTGACGCCCCCCCTTGGGAGTACTGCAACCAGCGCCTCGCCTGAGACATCATCACAACATGTGTGTGTGTGTGTGTGTGTGTCTGGGCGCGGAAGTAGCAGGAGTGTGAGTGAGTCTGCATATGAGTGATCCCGAGCATGATAAACCTGAGTATCGCGAGTGCATCTGCATATGAGTGAGTCTGAAAATGGGTGAGTTTACATGTGAGTGAGTCAGAGAATGATGACCTGAGGGTGGGAGGTGTTCTCTCGTTCTCCGCGCGGTCAAATTACTAACAATTGTTCACTGCGTGCAGCTCCCCATATGTGCATCTATTCGCATGGACCTGTCCGCCGTTAGAGTCTAGGCGCAAGAGTTTTCGAATATAAGCGGGCTTGAGTTGTGACGGTCTGGTCATGAATCTAACTTCGAACGGATTGGAGCGTGAATGAGTCTCGGTAGTACGAACGCGTCTCTGCGCATGAGCCTGGTGCCTCCTGGGGCCTCCAGAAACCTCCTGGGCCTGCCTGGGGCCTCCAGGAGCCTCCTGGGGCCTCTTGGATCTTCGAGTGGCCTCCTGAGGCCTCCTGAAGCCTCGCGTAGCCTCCTGGAGCCTCCTGAGACCTCCTAGGGAGGATTCGTGCCCCAGGAGAGGCCGATCATTGCGGATTGTCGCCGCAGGAGAAGGACACTATATATATATATATATATATATATATATATATTGTGAAAACACGTAAACCACCAAGGATTCGTGCCCCAGGGAAGGCCAACTCTATAGGAACACACGTGAAACATGTAGGATTGTATACACAGGAGACAGACATTCTACATAACCATACATATAGCATCAAGGGTTCGTGCTCTGGGTGAGGCCCAATCTATAGGAGCATACGTCAAACACATGGGATTGGAGCCACTCCTGTTGTCTTCGGAGGCCTCCTGCTCCTAGGGCCTCTCAGGGCCTCCTGTTGCCCGAGCCTCCTGGCGTTTCCTGTGGCCTCCTGGGGCCTCCCGTGGCTTCCTGAGGCATCCTGGAGTTTCCTGGGGCCTCCTGGAGCCTGTCGGGACATCCTGTGGCCTCTTGAATCTTCCTGTGGCCTCCTGATGCCTCCTGGGACCTCATGTGGCCTCCTGGGGCCTCATGAAGCCTGCTGGAGCCTCCTGTGGCATCCTCGGGAGAATATGTGCCCACGAGTCTGTCCACCCAAACAAACAACCGATCGAGACATCCTCAACATCTGGCCCCCCTGGGTGGCGACACCATTTGGGCGCGAACGGAGGCCGTGAGATACCCCTGGCGCCCCCCCCTTAGGAGGCGCCTCGCACGAGACATCCTCAACTTCTGCTCCGAAACCGGACGATGTTGGGGACCAAAGCAGGCAAACCGCCTGAGACATCCCAGCCATTTTGGCGCGAACGGAGGCCGTGAGATACCCCATGGCGCTCCCCCTCAGGAGCGCTAACACCAGCAAACCGCTCGAGACATCCTTATCATCTGCTCATCGTCACCAACATCAGCATCATCATCATCATCATCATCATCATCAGCAGCAGCATTATCATCATCAGCATCAGCATCAGCATCAGTATCATCATCAGCATCATCATCATCAGGAGATTCCCCACCCGTCCTTTTACACAGAACTCTCATGTATGTCATCCGCATGTGGTGACCTTGCAGACAACACAATTCTGAGAACACGCCGGCGTGAGACACACAACAACGCACTTTACAGATCCGTGCCGTCAATACAATTGCTTGCGGCCCGCCAAAAGCCAGGGCGGGTAGGTCGTGCACCAGTTCAGACAGGGAGGGAGGCTTGAGCGAAACGTATACGGACTCTGTGTATTCATCTCCTGCACGTTCTGAGGACAAGTCGGAGATTCCCCACCCGTCCTTTTACGCAGAACTCTCATGTATGTCATCCGCATGTGGTGACCTTGCAGACAGCACAATTCTGAGAACACGCCGGCGTGAGACACACAACAACGCACTTTACAGATCCGTGCCGACATTCGAGGCACCAAAAGTCGCTATCGGTTCTCTGCCGTCAGCGCGGATCGGGGTCTTCCACACGGAAGGGGTACAGGCGGATGGTTTGCCGAAAGATTCGATCGAATGCAGCATCTTGAAACACATCGGCCATTCGATTCGCAAGCACGTGAGGGTAAGCTGCGGCGCGAGCGGTCCAGTGAATGCCCAGGCCGTTTCAGCCCTGGAGAATCTGGTGTTTCTTTCCAGAGAACGAGCAGATGCCACGTACAACTTTACAACGCTTACACAATTCGTCGGCTCTCGGCAGCAGGAAGCATCTCAGCCTAGTGGGTTTCACCACGGCGTGCCCCAACCGCAATAGTTAGTTATAATATCGCGGACCCCGGGCCAGCGAAAAATCTGAACGGCTGCATCCATTTTCCACATGTAGGATGACTGAGGATTCTCCCACAAACAAGGAACCCGAATCTGTTTACAGCACTTAAAGATCTTACAGGACACCTGAAAAAGTTTGTTGCCCTCGTCTACCAGGCATTGCAGATGAGGAGGGAGCGAGGGGAGGCCAGAGGGAGCTTGCGACGATCTAATTGCATTATGGCCTCCTCGGGCAATGGAGAACGATCTACATGGCACACCAGCTAGCACACCGAGACATCTGTCGGACTTGATCATCCGCATGATGCGCTTCAAGACGGCGGGCCTCAGGAGGTCACCTTGGGGCCCTTGTAGCACATCGAATGAGTGCACTCTGAAACCACGACGGCGCAGCGAATCCGAGAAATGTTCCGAGCCCGAGAAGATGTCTATGTAGAAATACTCGTGTCTCTTGGCGCGGGGATCGCTCAAGCGTTGACGGATAGCGAGGCGGCGCCGAGCAGCGAGGGCAGCTCGGCCTCGGCCTGGAGGCAGTAGGTCTTGGCCGAGGGCCCCATCTCGCTCCACGCCGCCTGGATGAGCCCGCGCTTCTCGTAGCGCCTGACCGAGCTCGGCTGGCGCCACCTGCCGCGCCGCTGGACCTCCTGCAACGAGATCCTCCCCGTGAAGCGGTCGATGGACGCGCCGCTGTGCCGGGCCGTGTAGAGCATCCACTGTCTCGTCCATCTCGCCAGTCTTGCTTGGTCTCTTCATGTAGTCGGGGTTGATGTGGATCGTCACCTTGGGCACGTGCGCCTGCGGCGGGATCACCTGGCCGCAGGTCAGGCGGAACGCCTCGCCAGGCCTCAGGTACGTGTCCACCATCAGGAGCCAGAACACCGCGAGGTCGGGGCAGCCGCTGATCCGCCAGATCTGGCGCGCCACGCCCATGCAAGCCGCCCAGGGCAGCGGGCGCCGCGTCCGCGACGGCCGCAGCAGGCGCCAACCTCGCAGCGCGCGGTAGGCGCGCGGCAGGGCCAGCTTCCCCTTGCTCTGGTAGTCGGGCACGTGCATGAATATAGCGGCGAGCAGCTTCTCGCCCGTCGACGCGACCTTCCCCTCGAGGTACAGCTCGTCGAAGAACCTCGCCACGGCGGCGCCCGTGTCGGCAGCAGGCGCAGCCAGAGATGTCAGGCGACTGCGACTGAGGAACAGCTCGAGCAGCCGCGTGTACTGCAGTCGGCTCCGCCGTCCCACCGCGGCAGCCTCGGTGATAGAGAGCTGGCGGGTGGTGTCCCGCGCCTGCCCCCCAGCGTCCAGGCGGCGCTGCGCAGAGCGCGGCAGCTCCCGCAGGGGGATGCTGCGCGGGGCCGCCAGCACCACCGACGGGCGCCGAGTCAGAGCCTCGCGGCGGCGCAGGGCGGGCGAGCCCAGGGGGCGGCCCGAGCTGCGACGCGCCGGCGTCCGAGCCGCCGAGGGCCGCAGAGGGGCCTGCGCTGTCGGGCCGCTCCCAGGCGCGCTGCGCTTCAGCCGCCTGGTCGGCGGCGGCGCCGCGAGGCCGCGGGGCCGCAGCGGGCGCGCGGCTGCCGGCGGCGGGGCTGCCGAGGCGGCCGAGTCCCGGCGGGCCCGCGGGGGCCGCGGGCCAGCCGCTGCCGAGCCGACTGTCGCCCTCGGGGCCCCGCGCCGAGCCGCGGCGGTGCCGGAGCTGACGCCCGCGCGCCGCGGTAGCGCGCCAGCCGGCCCCAGATGCAGCGCGCCCTGCAGCACCCTCGCGTGAGCGGCTGTCACCGTCGGCCGCATTGAACTCGCTGGGCACCCATCGTCGATGTACGCGGGCCCCCGAGGCGAGAGTCAAGGCGGCGCCTCGCCGCGAGATGTTGAGCAGCAGTATATCACGACAACGCCCTTTAGATAGTGCAAGTGTGAGTGCAAGATTGTCCCCCAAGACGAGGTGCCTCTTCCCCCAGGAGTCCGCGTCCGACAGGATCAGCTTCACGGCGCGTAAGTCACCCCTTGCCTCCTTACGATGCATGGGCCCCTTGCCGAAGAGTGGTGAATAGTGCATGGTCGACCAGCTGGTGCGGCGGATGGTGTGCGTAGACACTTCAGGGGAACTTTTGTTGGCGAGACCCTGGCGCAACAGAACAGACGGGTGCGCATCGAGCTCGGCGACCTCGGCCGCACGTGCCGCGCGGTCGCGCGGCCGCCAACCCCCGCCCGCCTCGCGCGTGTGGCGGAGCCGCCACCGCTCGTGCCAGCGACCAGCACCCTGCACCTCGGAAAGGTCCCACTCGCCCTCGAAAGAGGCGTGGGCCGTCTCGCAGGCGTCAGTCATGACGACCTTGGTGGACCACTCGGCGTCGAGGTCCGAGACGAGCGCGACCAGCAAGCCGCGGAAGATCCTGAACTCGCGCCGCGCCGACGCCCAGAGGGGCCTGGCGCGCTGGTAATTCTGCTGGACGAACGAGTAGACGGCGCTGAAGCAGCTCAAGCTCTCGCGCCGGCACAGCGCGGCGAACGTGCAGTGGCCGATGACGTGCTCGACGTCGCGGCTGGTGACGCGGGGCCGGCGCTGCGCCAAGTAGCCGAGCCCCATGCGCAGCTCCCAGAACCGCCGCGGCGCCGAGGTGGCGCGGGCAGGCGATCCCTGCAGCTGCCCGCCGAGCATGGCCATGCTCTCGGCGGCGTCGGTCTCGTCATGGACGGCCAGGCCGGAGACCTCCAGCGCCTTGGAGGCCTCGCGCCTGACCTTGGTCACGGCCTCGCGGTCGGTGCCAGCCACGAGCACGTTGTCGACGTACAGCGAGTGGATGGGCTCCTCGAGCGGGCTGGGGGCCGGCACGAAGTCGATCGCCCGCCGCTCGGGCCTCAGGGCGTCGCGCTGGTCCAGCGTCCGCTCGCGAGCCTTCTGAACGAAGAAGAGTGCCCAGCTCCACCCCATGGGAACAACGGCAAGTTGTGGGCAAAGGCAGGCCCGGGGCGGGGCACGCCGCCCGTCAAGCCTGCTGATGCCGAGCTCGCCCGCGGTGACCTTCGGCAAGCAGAAGTACGACCGCAGGTAGGCCGGCAGCTTGCGTTGGTAGAACGCGTTCTGGACGTCCACCCCCGCGCAGTAGAGGGGCGTGTCCTTCGGCACCTCGAGGTCCGCGAACCCCGCGGCGGAGAACAGGCTGACCGACGGAGGAGGCTGAAACCGCTGGTTGCTACGCCTGCAGTCCAGCGCCATCCTGATCCGCTCGTCCTTCTTAGCCACGAAGAAGGCGGAGACGTCCTCGGCCCTCTCTTGCCCTAAGACGAAGACGCCCCGCGAGATGCCAGACTGGATGAATTCAAGGTAGAGCGGCCTGTTCCGCTCCAGCACAGGGTCCATGTACAACGTGGCCCCCCCCCCCTCTGTCTCCACGGCCTCGTCGAAGCTCGATGGCGGCAGCAGCAAAGCATGGTCGAGGTCCAAGAGAGAGCATCGTTCGCTTGTCCCCAGCCGATCCGCGAGTCACTGAGGCTCGTTTCCCAACTCGGGCCAGCTCACGAGGTGCGGAGCGTAGGGCCTCAGCGGCGAGTCATTGGCGGCGTCGTAGCGCAGGCGCGGGCGGCCCAAAAGCTCTGAGGGGCAGCCATATCACGATACAGCCCTCGAACACGCCGATGCAGCAGATCATCCAGATGCGAGAGGCGCTCTGGCGCGACCCGCGGTGTGGCGTAGCCCCCAAGCAGGTTGATGCACTCCGCGGTGTCCCGAGCACGCTCCTCGATCAACTGGGCGCGGGAAAGGCGAGCCCGAACCGAACGGGATAGTCCAGGCGGTGGAGGCGAAGCAATCGGCGACGCAGACACGGCAAAAGGCAGCATGCCATCGCCAAGAGGTTGGACATCAGCAGGTCCACAAAACTGGCTCTCGAAATGCGGCGATTGGGTCGAGCCACCCCCCGATCGCTGACCCCAGGTCGCCCCTTGTCCTTCCTGCCCGACTGGGCAGATTTCTCCTCGCGCGCCTTGCGCCTCTGCTTCTGGATCTCCGTCTCCTTGGCGAGCTGGTCGGTGGCGTACTTGGCGACCCCCGGCGCCATCGCGACGCCACGGCGGGCGCTCTGCTTCTGGCGGCCGATGTAGTGCTCGACGCCCTCGATCTTCATGCTCCCCATGGTCTCCTCGACCAGCTGGTAGGCCCGCGAGACCACCTCCATGCTGGCGAGGTTGGAGCCGTCAACCTGGTCGTAGGTGACGGCCATCTCGATGGCGAAGCCGAGCAAGTCGTGGAGGTGCGCGGCCGCCGAATCCTTGGTGCAGCCGCTCTCCATCATCCACTTGGTGTGGCGGCCGTCGGGGGTGCCGCCGTGGTCGACGATGTAGGCGCACAGCCACTTGAAACTGCGCTCCCCGACGAGCGGGAAGTCGTCATGCTGCTCCTGCCTCATGGACGACACCGCCTCGCGAAAGTCGCGGTGCCGACGGCCCTCCCGCGTGCGCTGGAGAGGGCCGAGGAGGCGGGCGTCGTCGTCAGCTACCTTGTCCAACACCTCGGCAGGCAGCGGGACAGGGTGGAGCTCGATCGGCACGACGAAACCGCCCGCCGTGCTGTAGAGCCCGCTCTCGCCCCAGACCACGTCACCCGCCTTCGGGACGACCTCATCGAACTGCTGGCACTCGTTCGGGACCGTCTTCATCACAAACCATGCAAACCCAGGCGGCGCGGCCCGCTCGTCAGTGAGCACTACCGCGCCAGGGCCGTCCCTCGGGGTCGGAGTGCCCCCGACCTCGCCGTCGGCGAGCGCCCCTGGCTCAGCGCCCGCGGCGTCCAGCGGGGGCGGGGCCACAGGCGGGCCACGAGGCGGGCCGCGCGGCGCGGCAGCGGACGGGCCCTTGCCCCGCGTGCGGCGCAAGAAGCCTGGCACGTCGTTGAAGCTGACCGTCATGCTCTTGGTGGGCCGGCCGCCGTCGCGCATGAAGGCGGTCGGCTCGGACTCGCGCAAGCCGGCGTTGCGGGCGGCCAGGCGAGCGTCCCGAAAGAGGTCGATCATGTCCTCCTCGGCGGGATATTCACGAAACCTGTAGACTCGCCCCGGGGGGCGAACAGCAGCGGGAGTCGCCCCCATCGTGAGGGAAACGCGGCTCGGCCCGTCGCCATCGGGCCCTGCCGCCATCTCTTCAGGGTACACGTCGCCGTCAGGCGTGAGGCAAGTCCAGCATGTGTTGGGGAAGGCGCCAGGGCACGGCCACAACAGCAACCGTTCGTGCCATATGTTCGGGTCGTCCTCATAGTAGAAGCACACGACCCGCCCTGGCACCAGCTCATTGAAGAACTCCTCCGCCTCGGCGGCGGTCCCGTCGCTCAGGAAGAGGCTCAGGTTCGCGGGCAGGAGGGCCATCGCGGCGACGCCAGGCGGCGAGGCAAGCGCCACACTGCGTCAGCGCCGCGGTCAGCACCACCCCGAGCGCGTGCCACAGGAGCGTGTCGGGCTCCTCGGGCAGCTCGGCCGGCGCGGCCTGCAGGGCGCGGAGCTCGGCCAGCTCCGCGGACAGGTTGGCCAGCGCGACCTGCACCTCGTCCAGCGCGGCGTGGCACTGGCTGAGGTTGGCCGCGTGCGCCGCGGCGAGCTGGGCCCCGCGCTCGGCAGCCCGCTGGGCAGCGAGGGCCGCCCGACTGTCCCAGTCGTCGGGCGGACCGCCTCCGCCGCCCGCGCGCAGCAGGCCTGGCTGCCACGCGTCCAGAGCACACCAGATGCAGACCCGCAACCAGGATGGCGGCCGGAGAGCGAGAGGGCGCATACGTGTCAGGTGCTCCCTGAGGCGAAAAAGGCTTGAGCGAAACGTATACGGACTCTGTGTTTTCATCTCCTGCACGTTCTGAGGACAAGTCTCATCATCATCATCATCATCATCATCATCATCATCATCATCATCATCATCATCATCATCATCATCATCATCATCATCATCGTCATCATCACCACCATCGTCATCATCATACTCATAATCGCCCATCATTCACCATCACCATCATACTCACATCATACTCTCACCATACCATGGTCATCACAATGTGGTATGGGATATCTTTTGGATATGGGGACAAACAACGATTACAACGCATGCCTTGATTTCGAGACGTTGGATGTCTGGGCGGCTTTCCTTTCTACCTGTGTGCCCCCCTCTTTGCCCCCCACTTCCCTTCCTGTATCCCTTCTCCCCGAGCTCCTCCAACCCTCCAGCCTTTCAGCTCGCGGCCCACGTGTCTATCCCCCCCTCTCCCTGAACTTCCCCTCGAATCGCTCTGCCCCTCCTCACTAATCTCTCTCTCTCTCTCTCTCTCTTTCTACCACTCCCTCTCCCCCAGACCCCCGACTTTACCTTCTCGTCACAACGTGACGCGCAACCCAGGATGTCCGAGTAGACCTTGTTCGCTGGGCCAGCGGCCAGCTGTTCATCCTGAGTCTTTCTGTTGACGGCCCCAGTGCCAGTCAGGGTCCCCGAAGGCCGAGAGTGGCGAACTTCCGCCGTGATTTCTGTCGCGACGCGAGGCGGGCCGGGCCTTCCCCCAGACCGCCCCACACCAGTGGCGACTCCTTTCCTCGAGTCGCTGGCCCCTGGAGCTCTCGATCCCTCCCTCCCGGGGATCAGCGCTCTTTTCTATTGGTGCCTGCTGCCCGAACACGAAGTGCCACGCGTTCCCTTCAAATGAGCAAGCGCGGCAGCTGACGACACCTTCCGGGGCGCAGCCCATCGAAATCCTGCCCGGCACATACCTTGAGCGACGTGCCGACGAGAGCACACACAAAGCACCAAGTAACACACAGCAGGAGCAACACTATGTGCGCACATGTCTCCATGGCTCCATCAACGCATGCAACTCAACACGACGAGCCGCTTCACGAGCTGTCGACCAAGCCGCTACTGACCACGAACGCCGCCAACAGCGCCACGCTCACGGCACCTATCACCCCGAGCCAAGCGCGGTCGGAGTGCGCCAGCGCGATGCCGGCGGCGATGAAAAGCCAGGCGGTGACGCATGCAGCGGTGCATGCCCGAGCCGCCCAACTCCAGCGCCAAAGGTCGTTGTTGTACGTCATCAGTGACAGGCCGAGGGACCACCCTGTGGCACCGAAGGCCGCTGCCCGCACAAACGCCTGCTGCGTCTTGTGCACGATCAGGGCCGACTCTGGAAAGGGCCGCCGCCGAGCGAGGAGCATCTTGGCAAGGTCGGTCTTGTTCTCAATTACCTGAGCAAGGAGCGTCGGGAGGATGCCGTGCGGCACGATCGGAGCAAAGAGCAGAATCCAGAGGAAGCTCATCTGCACCTCCAGGAGCTCGCTTGCAGGCTCGAAGGGCTTGCGCACTGCCTCCTGAAGCGCTCTGTGGATCAAGTCCTTGGGTTCCATCTCCTCGCAGGCAAGGTCCAGCTGCAAGGTCTCCGGCGTGTCATCGCACTCTGACCTGCTGCCACCTGGCGCCGCCCGCGAAGCGAGGGCCGAGAGGCGGCCGAGGGCCCCAGAGGCTCTCGTCTTCGCCGCGGATGCCGCGGCGCGAGCAACACCCCTGAGCTCCTCCCACGGAGGCGAGGGCTCGGTGTGGACGAGTTTGCCGTCTGGGCCACGGACCGCCGAGACCTCGGAGAAGGGCCACCCGCGCACGATGAAGCGGAGGCAGCCCACGCTGTCGCCGTCATACGACAGGAGCAGCGCCAAAGTCCTGGCGACGAGGTGCGTCGGCGCCTTGCACGGCTCCCAGCAATCCTCCCCCGAGCTCCTGGCGAAAGAGTCCAGCTGACGTGCGACGAGTGGCAATATGACCTTCACAAGGATATTCACAAACGGAGCGACCAGAAAAGGGCCGTTCAACATCTTGCGGAAAACGCTGCGCCGTACACTGGCAGGCAACCGCCGCTGCAAGCAGAAGAGGGAGCCCGTGCCCAACACCAAGTCATTACACGGGCGGCGCATGTCGATGATATCTTCTGGCGGAGGCTTCTCCCACTGAGGAACGAAAACAAAAGCCAGGGCACCGAATGTGCTGATTCGCTCCACCGCAGCCAGCACGATCAGCAACATCTCCACTGAGAGATTGAACTCATCGGTGTTTCTGCGATGACGTAAAGCAGCCAATCTCTCGGACAGACTCTTGGCCAAAGCAAAATACAACTCGAATCCGACACCGTGCCTTGTGCACATCCGAGGGTGTTAGAATGCTCGGCTGGATTCTGGTAAGACATTTTTAGCATTTTCTAGGGCCGACCCCATCCCAGGGACGCACGTGTCATTAGAAAATCAACCACCCTCCCCGGAGCTGATATTGACCAACACCCCAGAACAAATTACTGTTTGGGGAAGCGTTTTTCCCACTGAGGCGCCCCCCCCCGACGGGGGCGAAATTATACCCCAAGGCCCTTGCGACAGAAGACCCTAAAGTAATCAGGTTTACACAATTGCAGTGGGGGCACGGAAAGGGGGGTCAAGATGTGAGGACACGATGGGGTGTGAGGGGAAAGGATAGACATAGGGATACAAAATATAGACTAGGGCTATAGAGATAGGGGCATAGGGATATAGGGCTAGGAGCTACAGGATGTGGACAGGGAATGGATAGGGATAGGGATAAAAGGAACAGGGATCGGGAAACATACAACGGGATATGGATATGGATGAGGATGAGGGTAAGGATGGCGACGAGAGGCCACAAGAGGTAACGGGAGGCCACGTGGCCCGACCGATTGCTGATCCGGCAATCCTCCTGCCAATTCCTTAGAACGGCTAGATCGAACCCTTCAGGGAAACGGCCAAGCACAGCAAAACACATGTCACACTTTTTTACCATCCATCGGAGCCCAGTGGCAGGGAGGCAGGAGGCGGCGGGGGGGAGGGAGCGGGGAAGGGAGGGGGAGGGCCAAGCGCGCGGCTCGCAGCCCGGCTGCATGCACTAAATTAGTCCGGCGCCCTCGGGCGGGCCTCCCAGCGAGCCTGCAGGGCGCCGCGCCAAGCCGCCTCCGCGCCGCCCGCGCGCGCTGCTGGGAGCAGAAGCAGACCCGCTGCCCGCGGCGGCAGCGCCGGCGCCCACCCACCGCAGGGGCGGCTGGCCAGGAGCTCCCACGCGGGAGCCCAGCAGCCGCATCGCACGCAGGCGACCCACCCTGGCCCCTGCGAAGCGACGTGCGCGCGCCAGGCGCCGCCGGCGAAGAGCGCGCGGGCCGTTTCGGCGGGGCTCTGGCGCGGCGCTGCCGGCAGCGCTCTCCTGGCCGCGGCCGCCGCCACCGCCGCGTCGCCGCCCGCGCGGGGCTCTCGGCGCCGCGGCCCTGGTGCGGCCCAGCGGCGTCGCACGCGCGGCGGCGCCTGCCCGGCGCTGCCGTGGTTGGCTTTGAGCGCCGCCAGCTCGACCTCGGCCAGCATCGCCTGCAGCGTCCGGAGGGCGTGCAGCGTGACCCCGCGAGCCTGCAGGAGGTCCGGCGGCGGCAGCCGCGCTGAGGCCGCCGCCCCAGCCAGCTGGTCCACGGCGGCATTGCCCAGCCGGTCCTCGGTGGACACCCCGCGCGCGGCGGCGCCGCCCTCGTCTAGGTGGTCCTTGATCCACCCCGCCGTCAGGAACCCGCAGCGGCAGTGGGGTGCGATGAGTTCCCACAAGTCAGAGTGCGACCACTCCCGTGGGGTAGCGCCCTGCCGGAGCGCGGAGACACCGTTCCGGACGTACTACGAGTCTGTGACGATCTCGAGGGGCTGCTGGGCCGCGTGAAGCGCCTGCACCGCTGCTGTGTGCTCGGCGCGCTGCGCAGTCTGCGCCCCGTCGACCCCGCCGCTGTGGTCGGTTCGCGCGCCCGCGGCATCCTCCAAGCGGAAACCAAACCCGGCGCGGGCCAGCAGCGGGTCGGTCGGGTGCTCGCACGCGCCGTCGGTCCAGGCCCGGCACCGCGTTGCGCCTTCCGCGGGCGGGTGAGGCGGGGGGGGCGCGGGCGCGGGGGCGCTGGCGCTGGCGGCAGCAGCGAGCGCGGCCGAGCGAGCGTCGAGCGGAAGCGCGCCGGCGTTCGCGACCCCCGGCGGCAGGCGGGCCTGCAAGGCAGCGGCCGAGAGGCGCCCGGCCACGAGCGCCGCGCGCCTCCTGTCGGCCCACCGCGGGCAGTCCCCAAACCGGTGCTGCCGGTCCTCGCACGTGGCTCCGCAGTGCGGACACCGCTGCGGCTTGCCCCACTTCGCGGCCACCGACTCCGTGACCGCGTTGCCGGTCAGCACCGCGCGCAGGGCGCCGGCGGCGTCTGGTGCCAGGGCGCCCTCGTCCTCCAGCAGCCGCCGCGTGGCCCGCCTGTCAACGCCCGCCTGGACGTGCGCGAGGCCCACGCGGCGGGCCGCCAGGGCGCGGGCCTCCCGGCGCGCCCAGGCTTCTAGGAGGACGCTGCGGGTGTCCTGCAGCGGGCGCTCCTCTGGGCGCCAGCCCGCTGGCGCGGCGGGCACCCCTCTCCAGACCTCGACGTCGTCCCCGAGCTGGAGTTCCGCCAAGCTGCGGGCCGCGGCAGCAATCGGGCCCGCGCCGCGACCGTGCCCGGCAGCCAGCGCCCCGGCCGCCGCGCGCCACAGGGCGGCGGGGAACCGCTGGCGACGGAGAGCCTTCGCCGCCTGCCACAGCGGCGCGAGGACAACCACGGCGAGGGTCTCCGCGGCCGCGCGGAACCCGCCCCTGCACACCGCCCGCCGCGCGCGCGGCGGTCCGGAGCGCGGCGAGCTCGCGAGCGGGAGGTCGCCCGCATGAGGCGCCATGCAACCCGGCCGCTGTGCCCGCGGCAGCGCCCA